AGGAAGGAAGGAAGGAAGGAAGGAAGGAAGGAAGGAAGGAAGGAAGGAAGGAAGGAAGGAAAAGAAAAGCAATTGCTGGAACCACGTCCTTAAGCAGTATGAGGAGTGGGCTGTGGACAGGGCCATGGACAGGACTGTGGACAATGGGTCCTCATTAACAGGAGAGAAGTGGACAGGTGGATGTGGGGGGAGCTCTGTGAAATGGGAACGAGGCTTTGAGCTGAGAGAGTAGAGAAGGGAGTGTTGGGGGTTTGAAGAGAGAGGAGAGGCCTGAAATAGCCACCTAAGAACGGGAGAGATGGTGGGCTAGGAAATGTGGGATGATTGCCCCAGGTGCTAATGGACCACTTAAGGTCTGTGGTCTTAAATTTAAAGTGAGACCCATCGGCCTGGCCTGCATTTTCCTCCAGCCTGGGGCCGCTGCGAGGAAGCAGCGTGGAGGAGATGGAAGCTTGGCTTGAAGCGAAGGGCTGTGGCTAGGCCGGCAAGGACCACAAAGCTACAGAGAGGCCAAGGAATGGACATGGATGCCAGGAGTGACCGCAGCGATTGCTGGAGGAGCTTAGCGGGGCAAGGGGGGAAAGGGGTGCACGGCAGGTGAAGCGCAGTGGGACGGTGATGGTTTCAGTGAATTCTGGGTCGTGGGGTCCGCAGAGTTGTAGGAATTGGGGTACCAGAATGGAGCAAGCAGGAAAGACAGAAGGTTACCGGCAGAAAGTGGGGTGTTTGACAAGCTCTAGGTTGCCGGCCTGTCCAACAGAACTTTCCACAGTGCTGGGGATGTCCTGTGTGTGCTCTGGACAGTAGCCACTGGCCTGTGGACATGAAACACTTGAAATGTGACTAGTGCAGCTGAGGAACTCAGTTTCTGATCTTCTCTGAGTTACATTTAAATGTGGGTGGCCACGTGTGGCTAGCAGGTATAGCACAGGTCAGGGGTGTGGTGTAGGAGTGAGGGGCTGAAATGGGTGGAGAACTGGTACTGGGAAGATCGTCTAGGTGGAGAGTTAAGTCACTCAAAGGACAACAGGAGTGCTGGTGGCAGGAGCGGCAGGGAGCAGGGACTTGGGGCTCTGGGGAATGTCAGGAGCGCCCAGGGGTGGCTGCAACTGGGAAGGTAGAGTGTGACCGTCAGGAGACTTTAGATTCCAAGCCTGGTGCTTTTTGGAAGGAAAGAAGGAAAAGGGTATAAAAGCTTCAGTGAGGAGCAAGGGGGACACCTTCCTGGCCTCCAGGCACAGGGACTTGGCGAGATGCAGCCACCACCTGGGGGACGGTGTCCTCAGGGAGAGCTGGGGCCTGCTTGGGACAAGAGGGCGAAGTGTCAGAGCAGGTGACGCCAGCACAGAGCGGTGCAGGGCTGGCATCCAGGGGAGGAGTGGGGGCTGCTGTGACTATATTTATTACCCCCCCCCCCATG